ACAGATCTCCCGAGCGACTCAACTCCTCCAACGTCGAGCGCTTCTGGCCAACGAAGCCGATACATTGAAGAAGGTTGCCGACCGGCGACTTGGGGAGATTACCGACCTCCAAGCGGAGCTGAAAAAAGCTAAGGAGGGTCGGCAGGCGGCGGAGAAGGCCGCCCGGGAAGCTAAAGGGGCCCAAGAGCTGACCGAGAAAGTCGCGAGAGAGGCCCTCGGGGAGGCAAAAGAAGCCAAGGCCCGACTGGCCAACCTTGATGAGCTGGCACAGCACCTCTACCGGGACGAGGCGTCCGGCACAAAGTTTCTCCAGGAGACCTGGAAGACCAAGGTCGGGGAAGCGCTGATCTGGACGTTCGGGCGCTAGGCATTCAAGTCCGGCTAGCGGAAGATGCGGGCGAAGACCCAGACATTCATGGAGGAAGCCCTCGAAGGTGAGGATCTCCAGCTGGTCTTGACAACCCTCCCGGACGACATCGCCGACCCCGGCCCACCGCCATTCGGTCCCGAGGAGGAGGTAACTGAGCCGAGCGATGTTGCTGTGAAGAAGTAGTGTAGGTTCACTTCTTCGTTTTTGTGTAAGCGAACTCCGTCGGGAGCCCGGTCCCGATCTGTACCGGGCATACTTTAACGATTAATGAAATCATTTTTTATCCATCTTGTTTTGTTCGATTTTTACTTCTTATGCCTTTACTTTAGTTTGCTTGTAAGCCGGTCGTCCTTTGCCCGACCATTCGGCCTAATGGCCTGGTCGTGCGTGTCCCGACCCAATGGCCTTTTGGCCCTTTAAAATGTCGAACTTTTTTGGCCTGCTCGTTCGGGATTTTCCCGACCGTTTGGCCTCGTCGAAAATTCGAAAAATATTTTGGCCTTTTCGCTCTGGGTGTTCCCGAACACTTGGCCTTGCACTTCCTTCATCCTAGCCCCCACATTGTTGTGCGCACGAGGCACGAGTGAGTGCGACAATGGAAATACGTTGGATGGATCGGGAGATTTTGCTGTAGCTCTGGCTTCCCCAATCGGTGGTCTGACCCAAGTGTTCGCCGAAGATAAGCGCATTGGCCGGCCGATAGATTCGCCCGACTGAATTGTAGACGGCTATTAGAGCCACAGTATAGACGGCTATTAGAGCCAAATTGTATACCCCTATCGGTTGGAACCGAGGGATATGAGTTATGAGACGTAGAGCCCCTCTTCGTTGTTGATGTTAAATCTCGATCGGGCGGATCACGAGCGAGACTAGCTGATGAAGCAGATTTAGATTAATCTACTTCATATTAAGGCGATGGAAAAAACCGATCGGGCCGCCGTATGCAAACGGTCGAGCAATCACCGATCGTATAAACATTAAATTTTCCCGTTCGCAGATGGTTAGAAATACTTACAACAAATAACTTACAAGTACTGAACGACGAACGGTGCCCACTCGCAGGTCGAGCCCCCACTTCATCAATAATTACAAAAAACGGGCTAATGCCTAAACAAGACGAGGTGTTCGGAATTCCAAGTCCCCTCGATCTGCCTACCGGTCGTCGTTTCCAGACGGTAGGTTCTCGGCCGTATAACAGCGGTGATGACGTACGGACCCTCCCAGTTCTGAGCTAACTTTCCTCCTTCCAAAGGCTGACTGGCTTCCCGTCGGCGTAGAACGTAATCACCGACCTGAAAGTACTGAGGGTTGACCCTGACATCCTTCGAACTCTTCACTCACTTCTGGTACTCGACCATACGCTGAGCGGATAGCTCTCTCTTTTCCTCGACCCCGTCAAGATCCACGATCATCGAGTGTTCGTTTTCCTCTGCATTGTAAGTTCGTTCTCTGGCAGTCGGGATCCATGCCTCGATCGGGAGTCGGGCTTCGGCCCCATAGACAAGGGCGAACGGTGTCTCCAAAGTTGTTTCCCTCGGGGTCGTCCGTTAAGTCCAGAGAACATAGGGTAACTCATTGGCCCAACTACGGCCAGCCGAGTGCAGCTTCTTCTTCAGACCTTCCAGGATTGTCCGATTGGCATTCTCGACCTGTCCATTTCCCTGAGGGTAAGCTATTGATAACCGGATGTGGGTTGTCCCAATCGTGGCAAGAAAATTCTGGAAATATTGGCTCACAAATTGGCGGCCGTTGTCGCTGATGAGATGAACGGGCACACCAAACTGGGAAATGACATTGCGCCAAAGGAACCTAGCGCATTGTTGGGAGGTGATCGTGGCTAACGGCTCGGCCTCGATCCACTTGGAGATATAATCGATGGCGACGATGAAGAACTTTCTCCGACCGGCAAGTTGCGGAATGGCCCCAAAATACCCATCTTGCAAAAGGAATTGCAGTCGTGACCGGCTAGTAGAAGGTAGCCGGTCGTCCGGGCATCCGTGCGAACAACTGACACGTCTCACAATCCCGTGCGAGCTTCTCACAATCTAACTGGAGAGACGGCCAATAATAACCGATCAGCATGATTCGACGAGCTAAGGATCGGCCTCCTTGATGCGATGAGCAGATGCCCGAATGCAATTCCTTCATAACCAAATCGGCCTCAAATGCGGTCAAGCAACGCATGAGCGGGCCTCCATACGAGCGCCTATAAAGACGACCGTCTTGGACTTGAAACCTGGGAGCTTTGAGTTTGGCTTTCCGAGCACACTTGGGGTCGTCTGGGAGCCGACCGTGCTCGAGAAATTCCATCAGATCGGTGATCCAGCTGTCTTCCGCCGGTTGGATAGGTGCGACCGGCAATCGGTGGATGCTATGCCTCGGGATCACCAAAATTCGAGCAATTTTCGACATGTGTTCCGGGGCATCTTGAGCCAATTTGGACAGGATGTCCGCATCGGCATTATCCAATCGGGGTACATGTCGAACGGTGTATCCCCGGAACAAGGCGAGCTTCTCCATTGCGAGGTCCCGGTAGGCTTGTAATCGCTCGACATTCACTGCATAGTCACCGAGGACCTGTCCGACCACGAGCGCAGAATCTGTTTGAGCCCGGATGTAATCAGCCCCCAAATCCCGAGCACACTGTAAACCGTTGACAAAGGCTTCATACTCGGCTTCGTTGTTGGTCGGATGGATACATTAGAGCAAAGTAGACCTTGAAACCCTCCGAGCTCGTAACCACCACTCCTCCTCCTGCCCCCTTTTTACTACTGGACCCATTTGTTGCCAGCGACCACCACTCCGCCTCGGGGTCCTCGACCTCCGGGGGTCGGGTGTCGCGAGCGGTACATTCGACCAAGAAATCTGCAAGGGCTTGACCTTTGCTCACGGGTCTCGGTCGATACTCGATTGCGTACTGGGTCAGCATTAACGCCCACTTGACTAGGCGACCGGATGATGAAGCAGTGCGGAGGACTGGCCCGATCGGCTGATCGGTCAGCACACGAATGGCTCTACCCTGGAAGTAGGGAGCTAACTTCTTCGCGGTAATGTATAAGGCATAGACGACCTTCTCTAGCCGGGAATACCGGAGCTCGGGACCATGTAGCGCGTGACTTACATAGTACACCGGTCGCTGGACCCCTTCCGGATCAGTTCGGCACAATACTGTGCTTACTGCTCGATCGGATACGGCGAGGTACACGTCTAGCTCTTCCCCGAGCTCTGGCTTCGACAGCACGATTGGTGACATTAGATATTCCTTTAGCTCGTCGAAAGCCGCTCGGCACTCATCGTCCCAGATGAATCCATTCACCTTGCGCAATACCTTGAAGAATAGTAGAGTGCGCTCGGCTAACTTGGAGAGGAAACGGCTTAAAGCGGCAACCGATCGGTCAATTGCTGGACCTCCCGAACGGTGGTAGGTGGTTGCATATCCAGAATTGCTTTGACCTTGGCCGAGTTGGGCTCGATCCCCCTCTTGGTCATCATATAGCCGAGGAACTTCCCGGTTTGAACCGCAAATATACACTTGGATGGGTTCAATCTCAATTGATACCTCCGCATAATCTGAAAGCATTCCCGGAGGTCCCGAGTGTAGTCGGACCGGTCATGACTCTTGACCAGCATATCATCAATGTATGCCTCCATCGTTCGGCCTAGTAGATCAGCGAAGAGCATGTTGACCATTCTCTGGTAGGTCGCTCCAGCGTTGCGAAGGCCGAACGGCATCACTCGGTAGCAATACAGCCCGTCCGGGGTAACGAAGGATGTCTTGATCTCGTCTTCATGGTGCATCATTATTTGATGATACCCCTTGAAAGCATCCATGAAGCTCATTAACTCGGCCCCGGCCGTCTCGTCGACCATTTGATGGATACTCGGGAGCGGATATGGGTCGAGCGGACAGGCCTTGTTAAGGTCGGTAAAGTCTATGCACATCCTCCAAGCTGGGGGCTTAGGAATAAGAACAATATTTGCCACCCACTCGGGATAAATCACCGGTCGGATGTGCTCGATCGCCGCCATTTTCTTGACCTCTTCTCTGACGAACTCACGGCGGTCGGAAGATAAATGCCGCGTCTTCTGAACGACCGGCTTGGCCGCGGGATCTACGGCGAGCTTGTGACAAATGACCGTACGGTCGATCCCGGGCATGTCCTCGGGCCCCCACGCAAAGATATCGGCAAACTCTCGAAGGATTGCCAAGACTTCTGATCGTAGCTCGGGGGTAAGGGCCCGGCTAATCTTGATCTTCCTGTCCGGTCGGTCATCGGACAGGGGAACATCCTCAATTTCCTCAGAAGGCTCAGGTTGCTCCTTTCGGTCACTGGTAGCTTCTTTAACGATCGTGTTCACCCGAGAAGACGTGCCAGTATCATGTTTATTAACGGCTCGGGTATAACACTTCCGCGCGGATTGAACATCTCCACGAACTACACCGACCCCATTGGGGGTGGGAAATTTCATGCATAGGTGGGGCATGGAAATTATCCCACCGATCTTCATTATTGCTGGTCGGCCCAAGATGATGTTGATGACGCAATGCAAGTTCACCACAACAAACTCCATCTCGGTCTTGATTGATTTCGGCGGGGTGCCGATCTCGACCGGGAGCGTGATTTTCCCTTCAGGGCGAATGAGAGCCCCGGTGAATCCTGAGAATGGTACACCGACCAGAATCAGCTCGCTTTTGTCCAAGTTTAACTTTTCAAACACGTCCAAATAAAGGACGTTGACACTGCTCCCGGTGTCCACCATAACCCTCTTAACATCGGTCCCGTTCACGTCAATAGTGACCACGAGGGCTTCCATGCCGTGGTCACCGCTGTTGGGCTGGTCCTCCAAAGAGAAGGTTTTGGGCTCCATTTTCTGTCTTTTCCCGGTATCACGGGAGTCTACGGTCGCGACCAGGCAGTTTTCCCTCGGTCGGGAAGCATCATCCAATCCACCGAATATCACGTGGATGGTCGGCTTGCCTGCCGGTCGGCTACTGGATGGAGGGTCGGGATCTCGGCGGTCATCTCTGCGGTCCTGACCCGACCGATCTGAACGTTCAGCACGATCGGAGCGATCCGAGCGGTGATGAGAGCGTCTGTGATCTCTCCGATCGGTAACCTTCTTTGTTTCTTCTCTCTTCCCCACACACTTGTCCAGCTTTCCGATACTAAGCAAATCCTCCAACAGCTGGTGTAAGTGCGTGCACTCTTCTGTGTCATGCCCTGCACACCGGTGGTAAGCACAATGCTTAGATTTGTCCGGTCCGTCTTGTCCGGGATGAGGGAGTCGGATGAGATTGCAGGACTGAGCGTACTGCATAGCTTCAGTTGCAGATCGGTTTAAGGCTGTAAACTCGCCAGGTCGGGTGCGGGGTCGAGGATGGTCATCACCCGATCGATGCTCTGCCCGACCGATGGGTTTGCGGGATGAAGTCCCGACCTCCTGTGATCTTTTGACGGCATTCGCTTCTCCGGCGTTAGCGTAATCCGTCACCCTTCGAAAGGCCTCTTCATAAGTGGTCGGGGGATGGAGGATGAAATCTTGATAAAGGTAACCGGCCCGGAGCGAGATATGAAGCATATGGGTGGCGGTTGCATCATCCATCGGCTCAACCTCCCCGACCGCGGCTTTCCACTTGACCAGGAAATCGGACAAGCTCTCCCCTTCCAGCTGCTTGGCCTTTTCCAAATACATGTAGGGCTTTCTTACTATCTTGGAAGTAACAAACTTCCGCATAAACTTCATCGCCAGGGTAGCAAAATCAGAAATAGAACCCGACGGTAACGTACGAAACCACTTCGCCGCCCGACCGGCAAGCGTGGAATAGAAAGCCCTACACATCACGGCGTCTGACACACCTATCATCATCATGTTGCCATAATTGGTGTTGACATGGACCTCAGGGTCCGTACGGCCATCATAACCCTTGTTCCCCGGGACTTGTAGATCGAGCGAGTATGGCTGGGCCATTATCTCCGCCGTGAAGGGTGTCCTCAATAAGGAGGCTGACTGGTCGACCGGGGGCCTCACTGCGTGCTCGTTCCGAAACCGAGCGAATTCCGCCTGGAGGTCGTTGAGCAGTCTTCAGGTCTCATTAAGCTCGGTCGTCTGGGCCTGGGTCGGCTTCCGGGCACGTCGACGACGATGCGATCTCGACCCACTATGCCCAGATGAAGCCTCTTGACTGGCCTCTTGCATCGGTACGTCTACTGAGCGCCGGCTCGGGTCATGTGGTCCCAATCGTTGCCGCATTGCTGGACGGAGCCGCTCAAATGCTACTGCTCAGTTGGCTTCGACCTCTGGGTCCTCCGCCTGGGCTTGGATCTCCGGTTGTACTTGTTGAGCCTGCCGTGGTACCTCCATGGCCTCGGCTCCCTGCAACCCCAACCGCGAACGAGCCGAGCGTCGAGCCCGGGATGTGGGCTAATGCTCCGGCTCGACCTGGGCAGTCAGGTAGATTGGAGGGGCGGCGGCTGGAGCCGTGTACGCAGGCGTATAGGGGGGGATAACCGGCCGGTGGTGTATAGAACATAGGTTGACCGGGCCAGTATCCGTATTGTGGAGACGGGACCAGGTAAGGATATTGCCCGGGATATTGGAACTGCTGACCGGGTGGTGGATATCCCGGTTAGATATAACTGACCGGCTGTTGGGCGACCGGGTATTGAGCTGCCGGGTGCGGTGGTGAGAGGTTGAGATTGAGATCAATGGTCTGACCTTGGTACTGGGTGGGCTGGTGATCGGATGAGCTTGCTGCATCCGCCTGATCATCGCCTAGAAGGTTGTATGCGAAAGGATACATGGTGAAGGATGGAACCGGTGCTCGTCAAACGTTAGCTTACTTGCACGGTTCCCCACGGACGGCGCCAGAATGATAGTGTTAATTCTCACGTAAGCGGTAACTGAATAACACAAGCTCAATCAAAGTAAGTAAAATCTTTTATTGATCGGGGTGAAGGACCAAAATACAATCTACAATGGCTATTTCGAGGGCCGACTGACTGCGGTCGGGATGCTCTGACAATAGCCTATCGATCGTACAAAAGTCCCTCACACTGTTGCAACTGCGGGTATTTATAGCCGCTGGGTCGGAGACACAAGTCAGGTCGTCCAGCATGTCACCCACGTAGCAACTACGTGTCCTCCTCCCGGAAGCCCTGCCTGTCAACGCGTAGCGTTGACACGTGTCTCTTCTCGGCTCTCTCGCCTAAGGGCTATCAATCGGGTACTGAAGACGTCGGTCGGGTGCGACCGGGTTCTTCTAAGAAAATCCGACCTGTAACCTGCATAAACAAGAATAAAACACGGTGGCATGTCGGTCGGGATATTCCCTACCAGTTATATATTCTTACATGAATAATCATATGCAATTGTCTGGATTGCGGAATTTTTTTTTTCCGCATTAAGTATATTTAAAAAAAAAAACCAATTGGATACTTTTTTTGGGATTTTTTTCCATTGCTACCTATCCGCCGACATTGTTTTTCGGCTCAAAGTCCTTTATGGATTCTCAGGCGGCCAAGGATCGATGGCGACATACGCACGGCCGGTTTGCGATGCGACTGTGTGCGGGCGGATGATGGCGGCGTTGGTGCTACTTCGAGGTCAGGCGCGACAGCGGGACCTGGGCTTCCCCGACGACGAGGCTGCTGCCTCCTCCCCCCCCTCCCCCCCCCCCCCCCCCCCCCCCCCCCCCCCTCCTTCAGGCGACACCGATGACCATTGTTTCTTCTTCCTCGCTGAGATGCTGTCTGTCCTCCATCGATGCGCTGCTGCTAGGGTAAGAAAGAAGAAGATGATGAAGGAATTTGGGTCGGGTTCGACCCAATTTGGCCTGACCTGGATTTGGTTTGGGCTTGCTTAAGTATTTTTTCATCATATGTAGACTTCTTCTAATTAAATTATCCAATTGATTTTGCCTAAAGTCAATATTAAATTATTATTTAATTTTGAACAAATTATTAAGTATTTATGGAGTATGAATAATTAATATGCATAATCTAAGCATGTCTAATATGTTTATTGTCATAATTATTTTATTGTTATAATTATGTCTTTAGAAAAGCATGTTCTTTAAGGATAAATTTAAAACTTTTTAGGTATGATTTAAATGTCATTTATGCATGTTTTAGTGCCTTCTATGTGAATTTAGTGCCTTTTAAGAATAAATTGCGCATATCATTATTACGCTTCAATTATTACTCCATTTGTGATTTCTTAAAGTTCTTAAAGCACATAAACTACATAAAAATTCATAGTTTACCCTATTTAAAGCCTTATCCATAGGTGAATCGACAATCTTATAGATCTTCCAAACAATTTTACTTCAAATATGAGAACGCATGACTTAGGAAAGTTTCTTGGGGAGGAATACTAGTTCTATGACCCTGGCTTCAAATCCTTGTTGCTACTAGTTCCCTTGCGACGCTACTCTGTCTAAAGAGTTGGTATTTAACTGAGTTTCGTCTCGACCAACTTTCATGGAAGTATACCTAATGATTGTCTATCATGTTTTGGTTTTATCTGTTTGCTAGGCTTTAAATTTCTCTTTGCCAAGTGATTACAACTTTGTAATTAAAGACTAGCCACAACATCTTTAATTACCTAAATTATCTTCAGATTAAATCACATTAAGAATAGGCAATACCTTTGTAATTCATTCTACGTGATATTGCAAACTTTAGCCCACAAGCAATTTTGTCGATCGTTATGCTTTGCATCCGTATGCATCATGCATGGTGCATCCGGATGCAAAAACGATGTCATTTTGATGTCTAACTTTAAAAAAAAAAAAAAAAAAATCTGAATTGCATAATTACACATCCATAATTTAATCACATCCATAATTTCATCACATCCATAATTTCATAACTATACATCCAGAATTACATAACTACACATCCATAATTTCATAACTATAAATCTAGAATTGCATAACTACACATCCATAACTTCATAACTATACATCCAGAATTGCATAACTACATGTCCATAACTTTATATTATAACTATAAATCCAGAATTGCATAACTACACATCCATAACTTCATAACTACACATCCAGAATTGCATAACTATACATCCAGAATTGCATAACTATAAATCCAGAATTTCATAACTAAAAATCCAGAATGAATGAACTAAAAAATGAATAACATAATGTTGTTGCTGGGAATCGAAACTGATTTTTTTTTAAGTAGGATGCACATTTTGATGTAAAACGACACCGTTTTTGCATCCATATGCACCATGCATGGTGCATACGGATGCACAGCATAATTTGCCCAATTTTGTTGTATTTGTAGGATCAATTAGGATGAAATACTAAACTATGATCATAATTTGCTCATAGGGATTATGAAACGACATATAGTTTGGTAGTTTTTATCATTAAGGGTGGAAAAATCAAATCAAAAATTCGTATCCGTTCTGTTTCCACAATTCAACCATGATGGATTTATTATGCGTAAAAATTTAGCCCACATGTAATAATTTGTCATTCAAGTCTATCTCTTGCATAACTTACATTGGTAATAATATGCACTTCAGTCTTTCTCTATCTTTGTGTCTCGAAAATTCTAGCCAAGCGTTCATTATTCTTTTCAGAACCTCAACTCCCAACTCAAAACACAATAATGATTGACGTTCCTATGCTAAGCGATGATAATTACCAAGAGTGGAAAGACACTGTTCTCCTACACTTAGGGTTGTTAGAGATGGATTTCGCTATTGACAATAAAGAGCCTCCTCCTATCACTGATGTTAGCTCTAAGGACTGAGGCTGACAAGAAATTTCATGCACCATGGACTTGATCCAACCGATTGTGTGTGTATTTTATTAAGACATGAATCCCAAGAAGCTTCTGGGTCAATTGACCACTGTGACAAAGTCGAAACCTTGTTCAAAGCTATTGATGAACAATTTGCTACATCCAATAAAGCTTTGGCAAGTACTCTAATAATGAAGTTTGTTGGTCTTCATCTTTCCACTGTTAAGGGCATACACAAACATATCATACAAGTAAGGGATATTGCGACTCAACTAAAGAAGTTTGAAATAATTTTACCAGATACCTTTGTTGTGCATTTTTCACTTAACACCCTCCCTCAACATTATAACCCCTTTAAGATTTCCTACAACACACATAAAGACAACTGGACTATCAATGAATTGATAACCATGTGCACACAGGAGGAAGAGATGCCTATTGAATAAGTTGGGGAGAGTGGTATGTTGGCCACAACAAAGCCCAAACGGAAATTTGGGAGAACTAAGGGATTCACTGTAGCAACAAATGGGAAACTGACCCCAAAAGCTGATGTTAAGAAGGTACATGAGTGTTTCTTCTGCAAGAAGAAAGGACACATGAAGAAATATTGTACCAAATTCAAGAAGTGGATGTCCGAAAAGGGTAATATTTCCTCCTCCTTTGTATGTTATGAATCTAATATGTCAGATGTTAATACTCATTCTTAGTGGATTGATTCTGGTTCAATAATCCACATTACAAATTATTTGCACGACATGCAAAATATAAGGCAACCAACAAGAACTGAGTGTCACATCTTATCTGAAAACAAGATTCGCTCACCGATTGAAGCTGTTGGAGTTTGCAAATTAGTTTTGAATAATGGATTTGTTTTTACATTAGATAAGACCTTTTATGTTCCTAGTTTTTTGAGGAATTTAATTTTAGTTTCAAGACTTGTACCCTTTGGATTCAAATTCGAATTTAATCGCAAGTATTTCAAATTATTTAATAATTCTACTTGTGTTGGTGATGGTACATTGTTTGATGGTCTATATCGTCTTAACTTAAAGAATGATTTAATTAATAATTCTTTACATGTTCAAAACAACACCAAACAATGTAGTATTAACGACGATTCCTCAATGTTATGGCACCGGAGATTAGGTCATATCTCTCTTGAAAGAATTAAAAGATTGGTAAAGGATGGTATACCGATTT